AACAGTCGCGCCCGCGCCAACTCTGCCGCCACCGCGCGAATTTTAATAAAACCGACTGCCCTTTCCCTCACCGCTCGCCTGCCGCGGATGATAGCGTCGAAGTTAATATAAAACAAAGCTGCAGATTCGGCGCTGGGTGTACTAATCGCATGTGTAACCGTAGTCATCTGTTGACTGCTTCTGGGCAGCAAGGTCAAGGTGGAGTCCGAGGAGGACACAATGGGGGGGCGAGGTGGGCGCGAGGAACAACAGCAACGAGGTGGTGTGAATGCAGGGCATCGACGAGGAGGTGGAAATGTGGGATATGGACAGAGCCCTGGCGGTGGGAATACCAATGGCAATGGCAAACACAACAGCCACCATCGAACTGTCGGCGCTTCATACGGCGTTGGCGGTAACAAACCCCATACCAGTCATCATATTGGCCAAGACGCAAACGGTGGCGGTCAAGGACATGGTGGTCATCCACACGTCGGCAATAATGGCGCTCGTGGACAGAGAGGTAATCCACAGGGCGGACGCGGCGGTCTTCATAGCGGAGGGCAACAGCGCGACGACTCCGGGCGAGGTGAACATAATGAACACGGGCAGCAGAATGAGAATGGTCGCGGCGGCTGCGGGCAGAGAGGGCAGTGGAGGGGTGAGGACCGTGGGCGTGGTCGTAGAGATCATGCCCGTGGAAAAGGCGGCGGAAGAGGGCGAGGTCACTGATGGAAATGTGATAGATTCTTGGTTGGTAGAAAAGGCTCATGGCTGATCAAAGGGAGTTGGTAAAGTGGAAGTAGTATAGAAGTGCTTGAGTATTATTCATTTTAACGTTGTATATTAAGTTACGGAAAATCTTCAGTTCTCCAAGACGGACAGCCACACCGGTGGAGATCTTCGCTCCTACATCAACCTGGCTGTTCTCAAGGTAGTGAACCGACGCTCCTGCAGTACCGCATGTGCTTCAACGGTAAGAGCTGGACTTAAAGCGATCCATAGAGAGTGTAAGATCCTTCAAGTCCAACCTTTGCAGGTACCTCTGGTATGAGAGTGCCCGGATGCCATCGACAATGCCAGACCAATAATCCCGTTGCCCGGGGTTAATTTCTCCGCAACCAAGTATATTTCCTTCAGTAATATATACTGCGAGGGTAGGTCGGCTGAACGCCGCACGGCGTCAATGTCGCAGTTTTGGTGGAGTCAATTCCGTGAGATCGTTTCGATTGGAGACATTGGTTCGACATAGGGACTGCGGATTAGTCGAGGGTGCTCGATACGTGCGATTTTTAGGCTCAGCGTGCAACGGGCTCGCGGGGCTTGAGGATGGCGGCGTTGCTGCTGCTGTCGAACTGTTTAGTAGAACGGGGCGAGCGATTTGGGAGAAATCAGAAGGTCGGTGTTGGATTTGGACGGAGAAAGGCGGCCGGTCGCTCAGAAGATGTAAGGTGGCGGCCCGGAAATTGTTCCAAACAGTGGTACCGGCGGGACAGACATGAAATCCTACTGCACCGGCTAGAGGACGGCATACCTCTGATGGTAGCCACTTCAAAGCCTTTGAAGACGCGATTAGCAGAGCCGCACAAAGCCCCACACCAAATTTTCGGCCCAGAAAATGTGGTTTCCGCAGGGTGTTTCGGCAGTGAAGTGGCAGGCAGGCGACATAAAATTGGGCCATACTGGTGCAGAGAAGCGTTGCATGGGTCAGGACTTCTAATAGAAGGTATTGAAGAGGTATCTAAAGTGTAATATTGATTGATTCAGATTAATGATGACAGCTATTGTGCTATACTAAACCCGGATCGTCACCACCTCCACCTCCATTCATGCTGCGTAGCCGATCGTCCCTTTCAAAAGCCAAAACACCACAGAACAGATGGAATAGACGCAAGTTTTGTCATAAAAGTCCTGTCAGCCCCATCGGAGCGGTTTAGCCAACCGCGAGCATGCTCCACAGTCGCGCTCCTGCTCTTGCCAGGCCTCAAGCAGGGACGCTTCAGCGTCTGCGGTCGCAGCTGCGGGGTTTTCAGGGCCAATCAGGTTCAACAGAAGCCTTCCATTTGACTCCACGGCTGTCTACGAGTCCACTTCACCTCGACTTTGGCCTGCTTCCCGCCGCCGCCCCGCCGCCGCTGACCTTAGTAAGGCCGCCGAGCTCTAAGCGATCACATTACCCACTAGCGTGCCAAGACCAGTACGTCTATATATGCCTGCCCCAGGGCCTCCCTCGACATAACAGCGCCCTCCTCACTCTACTCCACTCTACCTCCTCAACTGGATCGAGCAACTTCCACATCATACCAATCTTCTTCAACCGGTTCAACAACCTTCCTCCTCTGCCTCACCTCAACATCTCCAAACCTCCTTCGAGATGTCATCGACCCGCATGACCAGCCGGCACTCAGCTCATCCACCACCATGAAGTCTTCATCTCGGCTCTCAGTCAATCATGTCATCGGGTCTCAACGTTCTCACCTCCTCGAGTCTAGTATACTCTTCATTCCTTCCAGTTCGCTTTCCTTGCTGACATATCCAGATCAAAACGGCGCTTACATCCCTGCGGCTTCAGTCTGTCACCGGCACCTCATCAACAAGCGCTGTGACATGACTCACGAAGTGCGTCCTCTGCAACCGCGCCCCCCCTCTGCTGACCAGCGTAGTTCCTGGCGTCGACTTAGTCCGCCCACCCCCCTCTGTGGTTAAGGCATTGGCCGGAAGTGAGACCACTGGCTTGTCGCTGGTGGGTGCTCTAATCGATGCAAGGCTTCGGCCCCGAGCCCTTCGAGTTTGCAAGGCCCTTGAGGCCCCGAGTCAAGGCATTGGCCAGAAAGTGGAGGAACCTAGTATTGTAAATGCGCTTGAGCAGGCCGAGGAGTATCGCAACAATTGTCGCTGGTGCTTGGATGTTTGGTGGTTTGGCCTCCGGAGTTATTGGCCTTGGGTGGTTTAGGTGCTAGGTCTTGGGTCAGAATCGGCAATACAAAGTTCTTCCCATATCAATTCTTCATCCTGTGATGATGCCCTTGATCTCCCTCTGCATATTCCTGTGCCATGTCGTTGTCCTCACACCATGATCTCGCCACAATGCTCGTTTTCACCAGTGCCTGCCTATCTGCTTCGAACTTGGCTCATCGCCGCCACTGGGGCAGGCCCTTTCATGTCGCTGCCGTTACTGACCGCAGCAAGCCAAACGCCTTGTGCGCGCCCGCCAGCCTTTACTGCGCCGTCGCAGAAGCCAACAGCATCAGCCGCGCGCTCCGCAATTGCCATTTCTGCCTTTTGCGCTGTCGCACTTCCAGTCTATCAACCGCGCGCCCCCCGCCTGCGACCTGGATCGAAGCCTTGCCTACAGCTGCATCGCATGCGCTCCTACAAACCGCGCCGTCGCCATTCTTATTTAGGTACTTGCATCGCATGAGCGCCCTCACTGCGTCACTGTCGGCGTCTACAGCACCTTGACAGAAGTCCGGATCCAATTCACGAGCGAGAAGTTTCGCCAGACTTCCGTCCCAGTACCGTATACCCAGCTGCGATCCTGCTGCCTTCCATCGTCGCATCCTCTCCGCTGTGCCCTGCCCGCGGCAGCCTCTCCTCGCATCCTCATCCTCATGCTGCTACCATCGCGCTCCCCCGCCAGAGCATTCCTCCACACATATGTCCGAGCAGCACGCTATATGGCGCTGTGGAAAGCGGAGACGCTGCCGCCGCTGAAGGGATATGGAACATAATATAGATGCTGCTGAGAGTGCTTCGAGTACGCTAAATCCCCGACATCCCAATGGTCATGTCAACACAGCCGCAGTCTATACCCTGATGCGATTCCGCTGCCCTTCGTCTCCTGCCCGCAGCGGCCGCCAGTCGTTTCCACCCGCTCTGAACGCGCTCCTCCATCGGAGAACCCTCTTCCATGATTGCTGGTGCAGCACGCCGCGCGGCACTGCAGGACTGTTCAGATCTGACTAAGGACACTGCGGTATGCATGATTTGAAGGGAGCGACCGGCGGCGATGCTGGAGGACACTGCACATGGGCGCTGCTGCCGCTGCCGCTAGGGCGCGAGAGGCAAGGGCAAAAGAGCCACTGCCGGAACTCTGGGGACCCAGTCGTCATCCCATCGCTATTGGATCCCAGGTTATTCCTATATCGCAGGCTCCGACACAGTCGTGACTTCAGGAGTCAGCATCGCTAGCGCGAGCGAGACGCATCGGTATGAGTGCGCAATTACCACACGTTCCAGCTCCAAAATCTGTTGGCTCACACTCCAGGCGTTTGCACCGCGTATTTCACATACTCATACCGATAGACGGGTCACTACTACACATCGAGCGCAGCGGCGGAGCGGCGAGTGGAAGACGCTGTCGAGATATATTCGGAGAGCATGGCATCTCGGATTGAGAGGTACTTTGGACGCTGCGGTTTGCTTCGCGAAGGCACCGCAGAAGGAAAAGACCTATATCGGTGATCCAGAAGGTCTAGTTTCGAGTCGATGCGCAGCTGAACTCTGACGGCGCACTAAATCTCCGCCCGCGAAGTTTGAATTAGCGATTAGCAGATAAGAAAACCGCGTCGAAATGACGGGTGTGTCTTGGGCGCTTTAGGGTTTACACTGCCTTGACAGCAATCTGGACACTTTTACAAAGTGAGTGAGAAGTGTCACCAAGCTTTCTTCTAGTACGGTCAAAGTTCAGCGTAGGAAGCCAAGGTAGTATTCGAGCAGCATGCGCAGCTAGCTTGAGAGACAAGTATTTTAGACAGGGATGAGGTTGCGAAAACAGAAACCGGTGCGCGGAAGTCATAAGCCTTCGACCGAAAGCCTTCGAGTATTAGTAGCAATACTTGGGATTGTAGCTACTTCTCCCCGATTTTCTCAGATTGTGAATAGGCCCTCAAAAACAACTAGTCTTGCTCATTTCATGAGAAACGGAGGCATGTACAACGGCGTTTGCGACCAAATAACATTACCCACGCAAATCGGCAAAAAGATGCAAAAAAAAATTTGCAAAAAAGAAACTTGCTGAATAGCTTTGTGTGGTTTCGATCCACAGTCCTCCGGGTTATGAGCCCGGCGCGCTTCCGCTGCGCCACAAAGCTTTTGATCAGCTTGTAGTTAATTTATACTGTTTTCTTAAGCAAAGAACAATATATACCCCACAGTAGACCGGGTTGTCGTACGATGGCTATAACTCAGGAGAATGTTTGGGAAGGGTGGGGTACATGCCGTCTTTTCGCGAGGTGGTAGGTGGGGCATTGTGGCCCAACTGTTAGGCCGCAATCGCGGCTCAGGACAACGTCCTAAGTGCTCTGAGTATGCCAGCATCTAACGTTGACAGCCACCCTCGATACGAAACTGTAGAAGTATGAACATTCTTAGGGCACGGGGAAACATAAAAATGGTGTCAGAGTGGACTGCCTTTAGAATATATCGCGCGTTTTTCTCCAAAGAGCTGCCAACTTGGCCGAGGCCATTACACTGTTCCGCGACAGTGATTTCGAGAGGATCAGAGGGTAAAATATCGGAAAACGCGCTCTTTATTAGGCAGACAAACATATCGTGCTATCACTCTGCATTCGTTGACGGCGTGTTTGCCATTGCGACGCAGGACACTTTGGACGGAAGCGGACTAGCGCACAGTCGCGTCCCGTCGCGTCTTTCTCGCGTCTCTTCAACCTTTGAACATCCCACGTATCCACCACTATACCCTCCCAATTCACATAATCATGACGCCAATATCTCGATAAATCATGAGCAACTATTCACCCGACATCCCGATTTCTTTCGATCCCGCACTCCTCCGCTCCGAGCTCGATCTCTTCGACGACGCGCCGCCGTCGCTCTCCCACTCCGACGAACTCGACGCAATCGAACAGACTATCGCAGAAGACAAGGCCAGGAAGACCAGCGCAGGAATAGTCATCCAACATCGCGCTTGGAACACGTTGGAAGCTTTCAGGAGTGAGGAAGATTATCCAATTGGTACCGCGATCCGCGAGAGGCGCTGGAGCGGGACTGATACACATAGACACACCGCTCAGGCACCAGAAGCACTCGCCATCGAAGCTATTCTCCGAGTCCTCATTCAGTAGCCGTATGCCATCCTCGCCGCCCCTCATGCCGCTTGATTCATCGCCGATCGCGTATCCTCCCAGCTCGGCGCCCGCGCCAAAGACGCTAAAGAAAAGAAAGAGGTCAGATGCCGAGCGAAGCCCGCTCAAGGATGTGCCAAACAACAATGCCACGAGGAAGTGTGGGGCGTTCATGGACGATTCGGATGACGAGGACGAGATTGCGGCGCTAAAGGAACACACGCTCAAGCGCAGAGCGTTCAACACCATCAAAAACCTCCCCGCCGTTCCAGATGGCCTCGAAGACTACACCCCGCCTGCGAGTCAGGACAGGATTCTCCGTGACAAGCTAATCCCGATGAGCGGCTTGGACGACTACGACTCACCTACGTCTGTCGAGCAGTCCGTTGAACCCGAAGCGCCCACATCAGCACAGTCGTACAGTGGAAATGTCGCCAGATCAGCTTCAGGAAGGCCCTACTACATCCCCAAGAAGCGTGAGAAAGCGACCCTATCGTACGAGCAGCTTATCGCATCACGGTCCACTGGTGCACAAGGAGAGGCGAGGCAGAGCTACTATGGTCTCAATATTCACCAGCTGATGGACGAGGCAAAGGCAGCGCAGGAGGTCAACACCGCACATCGAGAGTCGGCTTGCAACGATGCGCCACAACATTCAGTCGAACAACCGATAGTCGAAAGATCGAGCAAGAGCAAGCGAACACTCATGTGGACGGAGAAATATCGGGCGAAGAAGTTCACGGATTTGGTCGGCGACGAGCGCACGCATCGTTCGGTATTGCGGTGGCTGAAGGGATGGGATCCAATCGTCTTCCCAGGCTCGAGCAAGCAAAAGACCAAGGGCGTGAAGAAGGGCTTCGAGGATGAGGAACAGAAACATCGAAAAATACTGCTATTGACTGGCCCTCCAGGGCTCGGAAAGACGACGCTTGCTCACGTTTGTGCGCGACAAGCAGGCTACGAAGTCCAGGAGATCAACGCATCCGATGAACGCAGCAAAGACGTTATCAAAGGCCGTATTCGAGACATGGTAGGAACTGAGAACGTCCGAGGTATCAGCACAAGTACAGCAAACGGCAAAGTACGAAAAGCCGGCAAGCCGGTGTGTGTGGTTGTAGACGAGGTAGATGGCGTCGTGTCAGGTAGCGGAGGAGGGGGCGAAGGCGGTTTCGTCAAAGCGCTCATCGACCTAATCCATCTAGACGAGAAGAACTCGAAGACCATCGGACAACAAGCCCCTAGCGGAACCAAGAAGAAAAAGAAGGGCGACAGATTTCGCTTGCTCCGACCCCTCGTGCTCATCTGCAATGATGTCTATCACCCATCGCTTCGCCCGCTCCGACAGTCTTCCCTTGCCGAAATCATTCACATCCGAAAGCCAGCTCTCAACATGGTAGCGACACGAATGCAGGACATCTTCGCCAAGGAAGGCATTCCGTGCGACTCGGACGGCGTTCGCAGGCTGTGCGAAGCCACATGGGGCGTCAGCACCAAGAAAGAGGGCGGCACTGGTAGCGGCACGGGCGAAGGAGACATTCGTGGAGTCATGGTCGTGGGGGAATGGGTCGCTGGTCGCTTCAGAAGCTCCTGCGATCCGAACTCGAAAGAGGTGCCACGCCTGAGCCGTCGCTGGATCGAGGACAATGTCATCAATGACCTTAACCACGGCGGCGGAGCTGCCCGTAGCTTGGGACGAGGTGGCGCAAAAGATGTGGTCGATCGGGTGTTCCGCGAGGGCGCGGGGTTTCCAAAGCAAGCTGAGACGACCGACGTGAAAACGGCAGCATCACGAGCCAAACAGGGTGTCATCGGTGTTGCTGAAGCGTCCAAGCGGAGGGCAATGACTAGACTTAGGGAGATGGTCGACACCAGTGGTGATAGCGATCGCATCGTAACTGGTTCGCCTACCTGCACTCTGTCGTGTGGGAAAATATGCTAACCCTTACCCAGACTGCTTCACCGCATACCCTGAAAAGCCCTTCCAAGATGACACCCTCCTTAGCAAGCCCTGCGCCGTTTACGAATGGCTCTGCTTCCATGACACGCTCTCCTCCGCCGTCCACGGCTCCCAAGAATGGGAACTAGCGCCCTACCTATCTCAATCGGTCCTTGCCTTCCATAACCTCTTCGCTTCGCCGCGTCAACAGAGCTCGAATCCTATGGCAGATCCCGATGCCGAAACAACTGCCTTCTCCGGTCCGACCGCCAACTACCAGGCAGCCGAGCGACTCAAAGCAAGCCGCGCCCAGCTCATGGGTCTCCAATCCACACTTAGCATGTCGCTCACCCGACTATTCCGGTCACCGCAGGAGCTGGCTATCGAGCTCATCCCTTACGTTCTCCGTATGCTCTCGCCAGACGTCAAACCCGTCATCGTCAATACCGGGCCCTCGGGTTCCAAGTCCGCGGCTACAGCCTCCGTCCGCAAAGCATCCGAGAAGGCTCTAGTCAAAAAGGCTGTTGAAGCAATGGCAGCAACTGGCGTTCGTTTCGAAAGGAGTAAAGTTGAATTCGACGATGTAGCAAACAGGAACGGCGGCTGGGTCTGGCGCATGGAACCTGCGCTCGACTCCCTCGCCGCTTTCGACACCCTGTCAGGAAAGAAAGATGACAAAGTTCGCTACGCGGTTCGCAGCGTGCTAGAAATGGAGTGGAAGAAGGAAAGCACGCGGCTTGACGCGGAAGCTCGTAAACGACGCGGGGGCCATGTCGAAGGCGAAGTTGTTGAAGAGGTGAAGGAGGAGGTGAGCCCGGAGGCGCTGGCGGAGGAAAATCAAAGAGCTGTCAAGCGGGACTTCTTTGGCAGGGTTATCAAGGAGAAGCATGACGCTGATGGAATGGTTATGCAGACGGCGAAGCAGATTCAAAAGAGTAAGGAGGATGCTAGGATTTGGGTTAGTTTCCATGAGGGGTTTAGTAATGCGGTGAGGAAGCCGGTCACGCTTGATGAGTTTCTGCGGGGGCTGTAGGTGGGCAGTGGGGAGCAATGGGAGATGTGAGTTGCACAGATGTGTTGTACTTTGTCACGTGAACCCATATCGAGTTTGAGGGTCACTGGAGTGGAGCATTGTTGGAATGCAGTGCACCACACCAACCTCGTCCTCTGGCCTCTAATTAACGGACAATCTATCATTTTGAAACAAACATCGGTACACCAGCAACGCTTCGTCAATTCTAATCTTCTCGAACAGGGTTGACATAAACGTACAAGAAGCCGACCGAGTTTTTATCTGCCAAAGGTGTGCATGAAGATAACCGTCACCCCAAACCAACAATTATCATCAACAACTACCCATCCTACATCACGCAACGCAACCAAGCTAAACATCAACGACATCCCCTCTCATCTTTCGGCTTTCCTCCAAAGAGTGCCCAGGACATACCCACTGTCTTTTTCACTTTTCAGAACCCGAAAACAAGAGCAATCCATGTCCATCCCGACACGCGACTTTTTAGAAGCAGGCGCAAGACAACCCAAAACATTGGTTACTTTCACAATCCATTTAGAAGCATGCCCGCAAACCATACATCCTACGCACTCAACGTTTAATTCCCCTAGGTAGTTGAGGTGAGTGGCGTGTAGAAGCATTGCTCAGGGGAGGTATTTACAAGTCGACCGGCTAGACCAATGGCTCATCCAGAGCTCTCTCAATACGTCACACACGCCACGTATGCGCATCACCCCGGAATTTTGGCGATGATATCGAGCAGCGAGCTAAGATGAGGTAGACCATACTTTCGAGACAGCCGCAGCGGCAGAGTAGTGGTTGATGGTGGTGAAAATATGAGAAGGCATGGCCAAGAACGGTTTGAAGTGTGAACGGGTTTTAGCAGAGTAATTTGTTCGTTTACTGAGTTGAAGTGGCTCTACTCTAGCTAACATATATTTAGGCAGCGCTCTCTATGGAGACGCAAAGATGAAAAGTCTCGCAAGCTCCATTTCAATGTTGACTATCGAAATGGATCTCAGAGCGTGAATATGAACTGTAGTGCCTCGTCCTTTTTCG